TCGCAATATACAATTTGAATTTTATCTTATGCATTTGAGATCATATAAAATACTTCAAATTGCAAACTCTTTTATATGGCGATAATTCTATATTGGAAAATTATTTATTTGGTATGGTAGTTATCAATGAAACCGCTCAAACATTGGAATCCGCTAGATTGGTTCCCTTACAACTCTTAAAATCCAACTCAAAGTGCATATCAAACTTCTATCATTTTGATGTAATAACATTTTACAGGTTGAAGACCCGAAACAAATTCTAGCCATTGTTCTTTCGAAAGTTTCTAGTTCTTTGTCGTATATACAAAAATATGTTTGATCGGTTTCAAATGACTGGATACCTATTATATACACTATCTTTGGGAAGAGCGTAACTGTCGTAACTTCATCTCCACATCATCGACATTGGTAGCTATCCGGCTGCAGCATACAAGTTGATGCAAGATCGTCTTCTCTCCTTTCCTACAACAAGCGTAAATACTATTTCTCTCTTAGAGGTGTATTTTCACCGTGTTGTAGAAGTTTTGTAATTTCAGTTAATTTTCCTTATAGTTATCTTGTAATAAGTTGTTTTAACAACATCGTAAAATCAAAAACAGAAAATGATATAAAATTTAATATTTAGACCAAAAAAAAATTGTGTATTTGTCTTACACTTTCTATATCAAATACAGTAGAAAATGCATAAAGATATAGCTAGATTTCTGTTTATGCAATTCTACGAGAAAAATAGCATGTGATTGGTGAATAAATCTGTGATTAAATCAAAAGTTAGGCAATGTAAACTTCTGATTAAGTTCTTACTAGTAGACAAAATTTTGTAAATTTACATTTTCAGCAATTGCATTTAAAATAAGAGGCATTTAACACGTTTCTCATATTTCTTACAATGTAAAGTAATTTAAACTCATCATTTTTCATCTAAAACAACAAAAAAAAGGAACTATCATTTTCATAAACATATATATATTTTTTTTTTACAAACGAAACAGAGACATCTCTTATACTTATAACTTATAGACAAACCTTATGCTTTATTTGACAATGATATACAATATAAAGAATCAACCCCAGAAAAAAAATAAACAAGAAACAGAGCATTCACAATTCACATAGAAGATAAAGAAACAGAGGAAGATAGATAAAATATAATTAAAATTTCTACGAGCTTGTTGCACATTCCCGAGGTGTTCCCTGTGGAAACCTCTTACTGTCCGTACAGTAATTGTAGATCATGTAATTCTTCTGAACCCATCTGAGCCTAGCTTGGCTTGTTGAATCCATTTCTTGAGTGTACCAATTCGAGTTTGGTCTCGAGCTATCGATCTTAATGTTCCTGTAAGAAGCCATGAATGGAGCTTTGGACCAATCTGTTTTAACTAGACCTCCTCTAGTTGCCCAATCGTCTGCGTTCCATAAACTTGCGTACATCCTCATTGGCTTGCTCTTTGGAAACAAAACACCGATCGATTCAGAGTTCTTAAACTCTCTAATCGGTGTATTATCAACAGTGAATCTGAGCCAAACACAAAACAGATTAGGAATGGAAAAAAAAACCCTAATTAGGTTTTTTTCATGAGTTTACGTGTGGAGCAAGAAAGGTTAGGTTTTTGACTTTACATGATTCTTTGAGGGTTCCAGAGGATTGAGTAAGTGTGGAAATTCGCAGATGGGTCGAACCAGAGATGGAACTGTTGCTCTTTGTCACCTTTACCTTGAGTGTAAACATTAGTGTGTAAAGTATATGGATCTCCACTAAGATTACCCAAGAACTCGAAATCAATCTCATCCCAAGTCGTTCCTGGCGATTTCAGCTGCAAATTTTATATACAAAAAAACTCATTATTATCAAGATTTACAAAAATCCGATTCAAATCACAAAAATATTCCAAGAGTATATGTAACTTACGTAGAAAGTTGTGACAGTTCCTGCTGAGTTACCGGGAACAAGTTTGATCTGCATATCGATTTTACCGAACAAATACTCTGATTTGGATTGAAAACCAGAGCCAGAGGATTTGTCTAAGGAGAGAGTAAGAAGTTGGCCGTTGTTGAGAATCTTTCCACGGCCGGCTCCCCAAGCTACGTCGACGTCGGTGTTGAAATCAGCGGCGGAGACTGAAAACGCCGCCGCAAGAAGAGCCGTGAAGAAGAATGTTTTGAAAAGAGACATTCT